GATGGCCATGAATATTTCCTCATGGCCGGCTAATCATAATCAATCGCGCCCTACTACCTATTCGATGCGTGCCTGGGAATTTTCTGATTTCGTGCTGCGATTGACGATGTTGTCTTGGTCTGTGGCTCAATGCGCATTGATCCACGTCCGTGACAAAAGGTGCTAATCCGGAACTGCAGCCGCAGCTCTTACCCACCCCATAATGCCGACCTTTAGCTGTCTCTGGTGCGATCCAGAGGCCAATGACACCGGTCCACCCTGCGGATTGTCCTGTCGATCCCGGAGTTGATGACATTGGTCCACTGCTCGGCCCCCGAGCGCCGGCGCTGACCGCTGGAGGCCAGCACCCGGCTGGCCGCAGCTGGCAGCGCCCCGACACCTGCGCCGGGAGGGGGCAGTCTCGCCGCACCGAGTGATCCCCGTCCGTGACCCCGGCCGGGCGGCGGAGGGGCGCGGTTTCCGCCACGCGCGGTCGGCGCCCCGGCGCAGCGCCGTGGCCGGCTCATTATGGAAGCGCGCGAGCGGCCCCGCCAGTGACGGCTCCATCACCGCCAGAAACAAAAGATGACAGCGTCGCTCTTCAATCACAGCCGACGGCCGGGTAATCTGCTGCTCAAACACGGCTGCGGGCCGCGGCCAGGGCGCCGTTTACCACCCGACCGAGCGCAGATCGGCGCTGTCTGTCGCTTTGTTCCGCCTTGGATGGCTCTATCGCTCTGCTAAACGACCGGGTGCCCCGTATTGATTGCCTTTGTATAGACAAGGAGCCGAAGGGAATTCACAGAGAGCGCTGAAAAAACGCTGAAGAGGGAATCAATTTTATATCCGAATATAGCCGCCACACTGTACAACTCAGGAGCGCTCTATAAGGGGCGCGTCAGGCTACACCTATCGCTTGCTACTGCCACCTTTTATAGTAATATGAAATGATCGATTAGCCCACTGAACTGCAGTATCAGATCGCTGCGATCTTTCCGCACTTCACACTTACCAAGTACGGTATGCGAAGACTTTCGTAAGAGTAGGTGCTTTTACTAAAGCGTGCTACTCGACATATTTTAGGCGTTTTAACTCTTCCAATCGCTTCAGCCTGATATTTTCGGTTTATGCCTTGTCCACATCTCCTTTTTATGGCGTTCGACGCGCGTTAAAAAAGTGAAGGCATCAGCAAAACTGACAAAAACACAACCAAAAATGCTTAAAATTGGATCTAAGACCGCTTGCTTGTCACATTGTATATCACACACCTGAGGTCCAAATATCCACCTGTACTCTCCTTAACATGCAGGTAGATAAGAAAGTTGCATTCCAAACAGTTTTGCTAATTCTCTACAATAATGACGAAACGAGTTGCTCTTGGGCTCATTCTCTTAAATAGCTCCCTTAAATAGCTCCGTGACCAGGCGAGAGATGGGATAGCACATATCCTGGTTGCAACATCATTGGAGTTATTGAAGAGTATGACACATTCAGCAAAACTGTGGCGCGGGCAGATACCGGTCTGCAGCCTGGGATTATGCACTACCGTGCGATGAGCACGTGCACGTGTGAACAGACCATTAGATACACCTTTGCAACCCTACACCATTCCTGCAAGATTGCTCGAAACAACTTCAGAATGTATTCAGACCTCAACGAAAACGGCGAATGATAGTAACTGATTAGGACAAGGGTCTCAGTTTGAGCTTGTGTGAAGGCCGACACCAGATATCATGACTTGAAACCACGGAGCCATGCACTTGGAACTGCGTCATTGAGCATACACGCCATGAAAGGCCAATCTCTTCAATGCCTCTTATCTTCTGAACAACAGCGTGTCCAAAGAATACAAATCCTATTTTCTGCTCATGAGCATGCTGTTTGGATATACGCAAAGCTGTTAGATATTGCGTAGTCTCATGTTTGTGTTCTAAAATCATGCTTAGGATTACAACAACAACAAAAAAAAAGCGCCCGCGCCTCATCGCGCCGGGCATTCGCGACTGTTTGAAATGGCTGACTCATTGACTAAAAACTATAACTTCTTGTACATATCCTAATGAATAGAATATTGTACATGTGAAATGTTAACATAGCCGTGCTTTATTAAACAGGCATTCCAAACGGTGTCTAAAGGCTAAGTGCGCTCAAACGCGTGCATAACTTCAAGGAAAAGAAACCTCAATAAGTCATCGTGTGTGGGGCGGGGGGAGGCAGGAACAGCTTATTTCTATTTGTTTACCTACGCGGGCTAAGAACCGATGGAAGTTTTGTAAATGGATAACGGTGCTCGCCTCTTTGCTTCCACGTCACTTGTCGTACCGCATTGTCTTTTCGCTGTTATCTATCTTCCAACCAAAACGACCGATTTAAAGCAGCTATGGCTTTCCTGGCTTCGCATTCGTACGTCAAAAAGATCAACTGATGGATAGCTCTAGAGCGGAAAATTGTGGATGCTCCCCAGTGACACGTGAAATATATGCAGGAAAACATGGATAACAGCCATGGAAGACTTTTACTGGACAAATTTTTCCTTTGTTTTTGGAAGTTGAAGAAGAAAAAAGAAGCCCTAATCCAGACCAAATGTGTTGTCCCATCACGTAGCCGACCGCTCCCCTCCAAAAAAAGTTTGCTAATTTGGTATCGATACGCAAAGTACATGTCATGGCAGCGTGGTCATCCGTTTCCCCGGCGTCCCCGGAGAGCAAGCGCAAGTGTGCGTCTCGGCGGTGGCTAACGGTGCGGGGCACGGGTACTTTCTCTCGGCGCGGTGCGGCGCGGCGCCGCCGACGGCGGCGCGCCGGCCGCGCCGGGCTAGTCCAGTGCCGGCGCGCCGCCCCGATGGACGCCTACCTGCGCGCGTGGTCGTTCGGGTAAGCCGGTGTGTGGGGCGCGGGCCGGGCCCGCTCCCCCGGGGGCGGGCGGGTCCGCTCGGTGCTCCGCGGCGGCTGTGGTGGCGGCTGCGAGAGGGGCACGTGACGGGTGGCCGGCTCCGGCGAGGAGTGACCAGGCGGGGCGAAGGACATGGTGACGACGCGACGCGCCGCGCGATCGGGCTCGGCGACCGGTTCGCGCGGTGGTGAGGCTTGCCACTGGTGTTGCTTCCCTGTGACGCAGACCTCGTGGAGATTGGAGGGTGATGTCGTCAGTGAGGGGAGGCACTGGGGGGGGGGGGGGGGGGGGCATCGTAACGGCCGCAGACAGTGAAGCATGGTGCAGTGATAAGGGACGTCTCCGACGCCAGGACAATGTTCTGGAGCGTCAGAAATAGCGCACAGTTATGCCGGTGCTGAGAATGATAGATGACTTTCGTGTTACCCTTCCGGAAGGGGTTGTGGAATCAGCACGACCTGGAGAGTGCGAGAATGATGACAGCGTTTATGACGTCAAAAATATGAGCGCCGAGGGGGTTAGACGTTGGAGCACTAAGTGATCGCTGGGATAATCGCCGTATCGGTGGGCAAACGGCGACATTGTTAGCTGGAAGCTCGGGGCATGACAGTACGATTAGGCGTCAGGGAGGCGGCGTCACGACCGTGTGACACGTGACGCTATCGGAGCCATGATCAGTCTTTACATTTGATTAGTGTCGTGGGAGACACCTGCCGTTGCTGGGACGCAGGGATAAGACGCGGCTGGGTCATGTGGGAGACCTCGGCTCCAAACGACCGGTCGGCACGCGACGCCGAGGCCCGCCCTCTTAACACGCCCAGACATCGTCGTGTGCTCCCTCATACAGCGGCGCCGCCGGCGTTGCGCAGGGGTCTGCCGGCGTCACGCCAGCTCCAGCCGCGTCGGCCGGCATCCGTGCCCAGCGTCAACACTTAACGGCTGGCGGCGCCCGCGCACACGCCGACCGTGCGGCATTGGTCGTGAGGTCGCGTAGCGCTGGCAGCCGGCGCCGCGCTGTCCGGCCACTTCGCACCTATTGTCTCGCGTCGTAAACCGACGCCGTGGAGTCGCGCAGCGTTTCCATCAAATTGGACACTCTGCTCAGAGACGCGCGGCATTCTCCTTGGCTCGGTTTC